TTTAAAATCTCGCTGTTTTTCTGATAGTATCGCTCTGCTTGTTTCTTTCACCGCGCTGTTTTTCACGTGAAATGGCGGCAAGGACCCTTCCTTTTCCCCTTTCTTTGCGCCCGTGTTGGCTTCCTCTGATTGGCTGTCCCAAGAGTCACTTTAACGCTACACTGCCCCCTGTGGACAGGAGGTTACTTGTAACGGCGACTGCAGACCGTTATTTCTGCCTTTGTTCCATGAGCTGGGTTAAAACACCCCTGTCCGCCGTTTGTGAAAAGTTAACGACCTTTTTTCCTTTTAGCATGTAGACTCCACAAACTTGCTATTACCACCGGATCCATGTCAGCTTGATTTACGTGAGCTCTCTGAGCTTTTTTGTCGTACATTATTCAGCTTTCACTCGTTTTCCCGCACAAGTCTAGCAAGTAACACTGTTTTCGGCTCGGCGTGTATCCCACAGCGCCGTCCTCTCTCTGCACTGCAGTCAGCGCTGCTTGCACATTTGGCGTAGGAAGGTCACGTTATAGAGCGGCTCGTCACTAGCGCCTGCTGGAGAGGAGAGAGGGGGACTGCGCAAAAAACCACGGTCTGGATTTGTGCCTGGCTGACGTCATGGGGAGCCACAGAGCTCTCTGACAGGATCCAGCACCGACGAGCACCCGGTAGGGGGGAATACACGATCAACATCCAGTAGGGCCGGGAGACGAGCACATCGCCGTTTTGTTCCACAAACGAGCCCATAAAGTGAAGCCAGGAGCGGGGATCGCGCTTCGGTAACGACTGCAGCTTACCACGAAAGCGCTTCCCCGCAGTTAAAGGGACTACCACAGCTGTTTTCTGCCTCAAAACACAAGCTTGCAGTGTTGGCCAGGGAGGGATAAGCAGCAAGAGAACAACTACTAATCCCCGGAACGGTCACATTCACGGCGGGGCTCGGACCCGACAGTAATGGACAGGGGAGCACGAACTGGATTAAATGATAGGGAGTAAAGAGACGCAGCGTACAAAGCGGACCTGAAGTGTTATGCCCGTTAAGCCGTGCGGTCTTTATTTGACTGGAAATGGGAGCTCTAACAAGCAGACAAAACATAGGCGTGGAAGAAGTGGACATCCCGTCCAATTCGGTGTACCGCTATCCACCGAAATCTGGTAAGTCATCAAACAACAGGTCGGACTGGGTTGGGTGAGCGTTATCTAAAACTCGCTGCAGATGATTTATTCTGGAGGGAAAACATCACCTTCGTATCCCGTGAGCTTACAGGCCTGCAGGGGCATTTCAGCCTTTAACCCGGAGCGGCTACCTGTGGAGACCGGTGTTTTTCACGAGCCACCTTTCCACCCACTTAAAAGTGCGCTTTCCCTTTACTCCATATTTATGTGCTAGATGATTTATTCTAATTTATTCTTCATCTTGCAGCATTGTGGTGACATCCATAGAAGGACAGCAACACGCACCAGCACCCCTATGTTTCTATAACTAACTGTCCTTTGCACGTATTTATGCAAATTCAACTTCACATTTTTCATGAATAGGAGAAACTGGCAGACGGAACTGGGTTTGGCTTTTCCTTTGGTGCATCTGGTTGGCATTAGGACTAAATCAGGCTGTGGAAATGAATAAATCCTGACGGATGGCATTTAAAAGAGTAGTCAGATATATTCACTTTGAGATATAAAACTCACAAATTAGAATTTATTTTAAAGTTTAAAGCTTGAATTTTAGCTGGAATGATCTATGCATTTTTAAAACTGTTAATTTACTAACTATAAATCTCAGTTTATTTGTGAATGTCCACCCAGTACTGCCTGTCAATTATGTTTGCATTATTTTACGTTCTTTCGGTTTCAACTGTAAAATACAGTTCAAAATGTCTAAAATCTAAATATGTCTAATTTACAGTTTTCAATCAAATGAATGACTCATACAAAAAATAATTTGTAATCATAATAAAAGCTGAAGCTGCAAACTTTTGCTAAAAGAATAATCAAAATAGTTGCAACATAATTATCAATCAATAATAATTTAATTCCTTCAGCTCTGTGGAGTCTTTTAGTTTTGATCATTTATTTCCTTTTTTCCCTAAGATAATTTTTTTCCTGACTAAATATAAATGCCATGTTATGGCATATATCTGGAAGACCTTTTCTTTACATTTAAAAAATAAATGAATAAACATTAGTCGGCACAGGTCACTTACGCTCATTCGACCCAGCTAATAAAGTGGCCCTTTCCTTCAGACTGACCTGTGTGTTTTCAGTCTGTCGTGTTTGATATTTTCTGATTGCTGCATTGTGTCCAGCCCCCTCCCCGGATTAACAATAATACCAAACAGGCATTGTGTTAGAAAATGTAATCGTATTGCTGTTCAAATCTGTCAAATGCGACTCCATAAATTAAAATAAAATCTCCCACGAAATTAGATCTGCAACACAATCCGGGAATATGAGTTTTCTCACGCTCAGAAACATCAGAGTAATATTTCAGATTCATCCTGACATCGTGTGCTGATTGTGATGAGGATGGAAGGGAAGAAAAGTGGCTGCCATTAGCCCCGCTGTTGCCACAGCAGCTGAGTTAGTCGTAGGCGATATAAATTTGTGATATAACAGCCCCGGTTGTAGCCTGGAGCAGTAGTGGTGATGCTGGCAGGGAGGATAGAGGTGGCTATTGCTGCCAGCGAAACCGATCTGTCAGCCCTAGTTCCTGTCTGTGGGATCTGGTGACAGAGCCTGAGCCCAGGTCGCCTCTCCCACCTGCTGTAAATAAAGTGATGAAGAGAGAGGGAGACAGGCTCATCGCTTAGGCTGTTTTTCCCCTTTATTATGTTAATGGATTTAAGGTCAAACTATCAAACCCTCATCCTCCTGTATGGTCTTAATAAGTGTGAAAAACCAAGCAGCCAGATTCAGACCAGCAATGCCAGACCAGATGTCCTCCCTGCAGAAACATGACTCGACTGCCCAGCATGTTATTTAGAGACCGCAAACCTCCATTACAGTCTTATGATATTAGCCTAACCTGTTATTAAAAAGCAGAATGTCCATTTAGTCTAGGTGCCATCCCCCTTGAGTCTAGGTAAACAGGTATAGAAGCTACAGCACAATAACAGCCCAGCATTAGTCTTTTAGTCATCAGCTTTTTATTTCACTATTTTCGGTCATAGTAAAATAAGAAAAGGACCATTTTGTCTAACCTGCCAGTTTAGGGACAGGATGAGGTAATTATATCATGCAGTTTGGGATTACTTGGCTCTTACAGCGAGTTATCTGTGAATACTGAGAATGTAGGCTCAGAGATTTATAGGAAGTATAAATGTTTTATGCCGGTGAAGTGCCAGATGGGTAGGACTCGCAAAGTGTCAGTTTGTAGCAGCTTAATTTCGCATGGCTCCTTCAGTTTTCGATGAAAATGATTTCATCAATTTGCCTTTTGTATATGTAGTTTTCATGTACATTGAAACGTAATAAACGATCATAAATATGTTCTTATTTCTTCTTTTTCGTTGTGCAGGGAGTTACTTTGCCAGCCATTTCATCATGGGGGGAGAGAAGTTTGACTCCACTCACCCGGAGGGTTACCTGTTTGGGGAGAATACAGACCTTAACTTCCTGGGGACCAGACCAGTAGCGGTAGGTATTTTTACACACTAACAGCAAAACATAATGTCAAAAGCAAAAATTTGGGGTGTTTCACGGGAAATTTCTTATCCCATTATCATGCTTTTTCCTTTATACTTCTTTGTTAGTTACACTTTGCTAGTATTGATTTACACCCCCCTTTTGCCTTCAGAATTTCCTTAATTCTTTGTAACACAGATGATTTACTGTTGTTTATGCTAAATTCTGACCCTGAAATACTCAGACCAGCTAGTCTAAACTAAACCAACTAAACATGCTACTCTCAAAGTCAGGTAAATTACCTTTCTTTCCTATTCTGATGCTCAGTTTGAACTTTAACGGGCTGCCTTGAATAACGTACAATAATTATATGCCTCAGATCACTGCATACTAGCATGTGATTGGCTGTTAGATGTTTGTGTACCCAAAAAAGTGGCTGTTGATAGTGTAACAATGGTTGATGTTCATGTTAAACGTGGACAAAAGACCAAACATTAACAAAGCCTCCTTTTATTTTCTATTGATAGATGATACATTTGGTTTTTCAGCAAGTTTTTACACAATAAAATGTAAAAAAAGAAAGAAAAACAAAGAAATGAAAATGAAGGATATTCATTGTTTCCAAGAAGACAATGTTTAAATGTGTCCAGTCTTAAAAATTTGCACATCTGAGCAGCAGAAACATTTTTCTGCATTTGATCGATGGAAAAATTGATTCTTTACTGCTTCAGCATCAATGGTATTGCTGTCTTCTTCCTATTAAACAGGAGTTGATAAGTTTCAGCAGGCTTGACTCCTGCAGTGGCAATTACCGGTCTTTCACACCGTCATTGATTGAAATTTATTTTAACGTCTCATCCTGTCAAACTAATTAAAAATGAAATGAGAGTCTGCTGAGTCCGTCTACAGAGACGTTGATAAGTGATGGTCCCTCCGGTGGGTGCGTGCAAACCTAATCATGAACCTGAAGTTCAAACTAATGAGAGCTTCAGATTGCAAAGAGCTCAAACCCGCAGAGGAAAAAGAGAATTTAACCCAGTCCAAAAGGCTTGAAGGGGCTAAAATGTTGGAATAAATTGAAGCTGATATGGAACAGAAAGACTGGGCTTCATCTCGCTCTGTGTGCTAATCGCAGTTGCAGTGCCGTTTCTGTCTAGACTGGGGCTAAAATTAGGAGTGCAGTTTTTCTCCCGATTATATGGGTGTTTATAATCCTCCCGTGGGCTCAGAATTCAGCTGGTGATGTTTTGTTTTTTTTGTTCTTGTATGTGTGTCTGAAGCTTTACCAGCATTATATAATGGTTGGTGGTTTCGAAGCAGATGGTGCTGTGGAATCATAAATCCAACCGCAGTTGTTGTGTTCTCAGTCTCCCGCACCACTCGACAAACAGGATAATAGACGTGGCTATATTTAGGGATTTTTTTTAGAGTGCCCTGGCTGGACAACACAAACGCAAAATGGATTGTAGCCACAAGACGGGTTGGCAACGATGGTTAGGTGGCCTACTTTGAATCCAGTACCTTTGGGTTGTTGTCAGATTCTTCAGAGGCATTCCTAATTCACAGAGGATGAATCCCAAGTTCTTTGGTGATCACTGACTTCCACTCATCAGCTTGATATTTTTGGGATTTTGATACTTCTTCCATTTCCATTATTATTCCAGAACATTTAGGCTAAGGCTAGGCTAAGGATTTATAATCCCTAAACCTAACCAAGGAAGTAAAAAGAAAGAAAAATTTGTAGAATAATTTGTGATAAAAGGCCGAAAGACCGTATGAAGTTGAGACACACAACCGATGATGGGTCCCGCTGGTAAAGCTTCTGGCCTGCCTTTCCTCATAGTAGCCATCCCTCAAGACTTTCTCCATCTGAAGCAATGTATTATAAGGGATTGTAACACCTAGTCGTTTTATTGAATCAGGACTTTAGGTATCTGCAGATTTTGTGTCAGGATTGGAATAGTATCATATACAAATATCAGATTGGAACATGAAAGGAGCCTAACGTTCCTGTATTTTTTTTTTTTAAAGTTGCCTGGGTCTGTTTCTATGTGTTAGCCCTGAAACAAACTAAGAACCTGTCCAGGGTGCAGCCTGACTCTTGCCCTATAACAGATAGGATAGGCTGCAGCCGCTCTTTCTTGGCACACTCTCAGTGTAGTAAAAGCATACCTGGAAGGAAAACAACATAGTTAAACATTATCAACATGAACTGGCCTCCCCAGAGGCTGCACCTAAAGGTTACTGAAGCAGTGTGAGATCATCGGCCAACATCTAAAGACGACCTTTGCATGTCCTCCAAGAAGCCTAGAGAGCTATTCCTGAGGACTACTTAAAGAAATTACAACAAAGCTTTCATGATTTTTGCACAGTACTGTATTTGTCTGTATTGTTATAGCCTTTTCTTTTCTCCTCCTCCAAACCTGCGGTTTAAATCCTGTTGTTCTTGATTGCCAATGATCACGGCACAATTTTTTACTTTGGGACTATTTTTCAGCCAAAGCTAGAATGTGTAGAATGGACAGCCAGCAGCACATTCTCTCTAAGAAGTCTTTTACAAATAGATGAATTTTGAGTCACATTTACAGCATTTATTTTTTTTTTTTTTAGATATGCAATAATATGATCAATATGTTCTGCCTTGTAAGACACACCAGTCTACTGTTGGATTGGGAAACAGCATCAGTCTGGCAGTCTGCCTCATAACCACAACACTGTTTCAACTGTGCTTGCTGGGTTTAATTTATGACCACAAGTATTTAATCGGCATGTTCCAAATCCACATGTTCACGGTAACTATGAGCAAATTTTCAGGGCAAGTGTGTTTACTCTGGGAAACAAAGAATAGTCAACCACAACAGCATGGATTCTACACAAACTTTTATTAAAAGATAAAATAAAATAAAACCTCTCTTGGCCTGTCTAGGTGACATTAAAGCAATCTTAAATTTAAACATTTTAAATTTTAATGAAACAAAATCTGAGGTGTTCCTGTTTGGACCCAGTCGTCCCTGTGAGTCTTCCTCTGTTGATTTGGGACCCCTGGAAGTTTATTTTAAACCTGTCATTACCGACCTTGGTTTTAAGTTGGACAGTGATTTTAAATGAGAGCAGTGGTGAAGTCCACTTTTTATCACTTAAGGCGATTGGCAAGAGTGAAATGTTTTCTGTTTTACTGCACTGGCTGCCTGTTCATTTTAAAATTCTTATGACTGTTCTTAAACGCTTTCACAGTCTTGCCCTGCCTCAGCGCTCTGATCTTCTTCATCCATACACACCATGTACGTCTCTCAGGTCAGCTGACCAGCTGCTCCTGAAAGTACTGAGGTCTAGGAGGACACTCAGAGGGGACAGGGCCTTTTCTGCCATTGAATTAAATTGAAATTGAAAGCCTTTATTATCATTATACACAGTATAATATAATATATAATAGAAGTACACAGTACTGGGTGACACAGACAGACAGAGAATGATGACACGGACAATTTGAGCACAGACAATTTTAAGCACAGACAATTTTAAGCACAGACATAAGTCCAAGGAGCATCAGAATGAGCACGAATGGTCGGGGTAATTTATGTCAAGTGGTGCAGTGGTCAGTGCAGATATTTCAGTGCAAATTACTTTTGTGCAAGTTTGAGTTGCTCCTAAATTATGGAATAACCTGCCCTTGCACGTTAAAACCCATTTTTATTCTTTGGCCTTCAGCCCAGCGAAACTGAGTTTTTTTCTTGTTTTAGGTTTCTTTTTATTTGCCTTTTTTATATTTATGGTTTTATTTATATCTTATGTATTTTTATGATTTAGTTTAGTTCCAATTTACAGCACCTTGTGTCAACTATGGTGCTTTATAAATAAAGATGGATGGAAAAAATCTGTTAGAGGTTGATAGAGGTTGAGCATCTCTGGAAAGAATTTGGAAAATGTTCAATTAAATTGATCAAAGAGAAGAGTTTAAGATTCAGCTGTCCGAGGCTTCGTGTAGGTATTATTTCCTGAGTGGTTAAATGTGTTATATATGTGGTGCCTGCTATAGAGTTAGTATTAGGAGTTTAGCTTTAGGACAAGCTTTTGCAAAGTGTAACTACCAAATATTAGCATGCTACATGCTAAACTAACATGGTGAACATAGTAAACACTGTAACAGCCTAGTATCAGATTGTTAGTGGTGTCACTCTGAGCTTTTTTTCTACAGTTTCTCAATACCAAAACTGACCTGTGGGTTCTTTGAACAACACTGGCCTTTATTTGAACAGGAGAAACAATCTGTGGGTTTTGATTTTACTCTGGGAGTGTGCGAGGAAGTGCAGAGTGTTGCTCTGATGTTTATGATTTTTAATAAGACCTACAGTGTTGCCCGTGAGTTCCCGATGAATGGCTCTTTTCAGCATCTGTTACTCGATGCGTGTTTGTTTGTGTGGTTTACAGGCGTGACTCCTGCTGAGCCCAGATGTGCAATAGTGCTGAATACGGTTCCATTCACAGCCACGCAAACACACTTAAACACAGAGGCGTACAGATTTGGGGGTTGTAGTATCGAGGTATCTGACCACATCCTCCAGAGATCCTTAAACCACCTCGGCTCTCCGCTTACGCTAATTCAGCAACTTTTGGCTTCAGACACGCAACAAAGGAGTGCTGAGCAGTGATCCGCAGATAGGGTCAAGTTTAACGCTCATGTGTTAATTTACACCAAGGTTTAACCCATCACAGAAAGTCTTTATATTCTTGTCAATTAGCCATTTGTCTTGTAAGTAGATTCAGTTTTACGCTGGGCTGTTTTACACACAAGTTCAGGAACCTACCAAACACTGTCTGGAGTGTCAGGCCCATCCCTGGAAAGACACAGCAAGGGCAGATTTTTTACTCTTGCTCAGCACTTGTCAGCATCGACGAGATCTGTGCTGACAAACCAAAAACATCTTTGTGTTAAGGTTAAACTGGGAGCAGCCAGGGTCATCATGCAGCCCTAAATTTGCTGTGGTGAAGAGAGGAATGTTGTGCGGTCGAGACGAAAATGAATGGTAGTACTCTTCGGTATCATAACATGTATTTAGCATCTATAATTTGTTTTTTGTTTTCTGTTCCTTTCTGTTTTCAGTTCCCGTATGCAGCCCCTCCACCTCAGGAACCTGTGAAGACGCTACGAAGCCTTATAAACATTCGAAAGGACACGCTGCGACTCGTACGGTACGCACATCTGTCCACTGATTACACAGCCTCGGTCTAATTTCATGTCAGCAGATCTGCTTTTAGGGAGCAAGTCATAGCAACAAATATAAGAGAGAGTGTCAAATTATGCGTGTTGATTTCATTTGTTTAAATTTTTTTTGCGAGATTAAATCTTTGTTATTTGTAGACATACAAGAGGCCTGGATACACAGGAAAGCTTATGCTGAGTTTAGAGCCAAAGGCAAATAAATACATATATACAAGTTATTTAACCATGATTTACGTTATTGAGAGATTTATCGCACTCTATAAAACAGATTTTTTTTTGCTTTTTGCAAACACACACACAAAAATCTCATAATCATAGCCTAACAAACAAAACGAAAACAATAATTGACATTGTTATTCTCCCTTTTTCATCCAGGTGCAGTGAGGACCTGAAGCTGCCCGGTGACGAAGCAGCGGGGAAGACCAGAGCCTGCTACAATGTCGAGTTCACCTTTGATGCTGACACACAGGTGGCCATCACCATCTACTACCAGGCCATAGAGGAGTTTCACAACGGAGTGCCAGTGTGAGTGAGAGTCATTTTCCTGATGAAGTAACTATATAAGAACCAGTCCATTTATCATTTATTGAACTATAACCGCATATCTGGTGTTAGTCTGCAGAATTTGTTCTAGTTATATAGAACCAGATGTCTCGTAATCACAGCTGTGTTTCTATTTGTGCTTATTTCTGGCGAAACCGTCTAGAATCGAGAGTCCGTAAACTCTTGAGTTGAGCACAAATTACTCTGGCTTGTGTTTTCATAAAACACTGATCCACATTAGAGACATCATTATAGATTCTTCCTCCGAGCGGCAATAGGTTACTTTCGCCCCACAAAACTACTGCTGCAAAGACAGGATCGATTTCTATGTGTGTGTTTTTTTCTTTCTGTTTTCTAAACATCCACTTGTGGCCCAAACAGAGCCTGTGGTAGTGTGATTTAGGCCCCACTGGTGGGTGCATAGAGTAACTGCGGTTGTGGTGTGGATGACCAGGGGAAAAATATGAAGTGCTACTTTGCTTTGTGTAGGAAAAGAGTGCTGATGCCGTTTTGCTGATTTTATTTTCGCTAAATCTTCAGCTTGGATCATAAAAATGTGGGAGGCGTGTAGCTCTCACCACAGAGCGACTGCCCTTGTTTTAATTTCGGATTTGATCACTTTCGCTTTGTGCTTCTTCTCTTTTTTGCCACTGCCAACAATATCTACTAGCCTACAAGGGAAAACAGAAACACTATGTTCTTTTTTGGTTAATATTAAAATATGAAGACCAGCTATGGACTCCATGTTTTTACATGAAAGTGAGCCCAGTGACTTTTCTGCAATGACATACAGACTTGAAATTAGCGTACACGGAACAGATGTTTGGAATCTGAGATAAGTTGTGGCTGACAACCAAAGCTAAATATATGTGAATATATTGTGTGTATATGCCTATTTATGTATTGCATATTTAAAAGGCTTTGTTTTTTGTATGCAGAGAAGAAAGTGAACCAGAGTCCAATTCATTTAAGATGCTTCTGATTCTGAATAAATATTTGAAGAGAAAAAGTGACATTGCTGCATCCTTAAAGAAAAAAGATAACTGTGTAAATTAAAACAGGCTAGTGTGGCAGAGAAAAGCATATCCATAAATATTCATCCAGACAATTGTTATGCCAGCATGGTCTCGCATATCTTAAATGCAGCTCAGTGTTTGCATATCTTGCATAAGAAGCTGTGATTCTATTTCTGTTCAAACAGGACGGAGGACCTATGCACATTTTGCTTTTTCACCACTTTACTCAGAATAAATTACATTTAAATGAGACTCCACCTCTCCAGCTGCTATGTTTAAAAAACAATTACCTATTTTGCTTATAGTCAGCTACAGCAGATAGAAACAGCCATTTCCTGTTACCTTCCTCTTATATCCTGATCTGTATCTATCTGCTTCCTGCAGTTACCTGCCCCAGGACAGCTCATTGCAGTCTGAGACGGTACACTTCAAAAGGGGAGTTTGCCAGCAGTTCTGTCTGCCATCACACACCGTCAACCTCAGCGAGTGGGCCGACGACGAGGTAGGCGGCTTGTACCTGCAGCACGATCACTGAAACGTGTGTTTACATGAGGTTGTGCTGGAGCGTGAAGCCAGTTTGTACAGATGGATATCTGCGGTGTTTCTCTCCTCAGCTGCAGTTTGATATGGACAAGGAAATCTTCCCCATGGTTGTGCAGGCTGTTGTAGACGAGGGAGAGGGTGAGCTAATGTGCTTTGTCACACTGGTGATGTCATAAGAATATGCATAAAGATGTACCAACTTGTTTTTTGTTTTATTTTCATCCTTGCAGATCATTTGGGCCACTCTCACATACTGCTAGCTACATTTGAAAAGGTAAGAACCGAAATTATATTTCCAGAAATTTGGATAATTTATTCTTGATTTATCACAATTCATTATTATGATGTCTTGTCAATATTAAACTCCAAAAACAGGCTAATATTTTACAGATGTATTAATAATACATACAACTGTTGCCTTCTTTGCCAGCACATGGATGGAAGCTACTGTGTGAAGCCTCTGAAGCAGAAACAAGTGGTGAATACATCTGCCTTTCTTCTTTCCCTCCATCTTACGTCCTTTTGTGTAGCAACTTTATTCTTTTGAAAGACAAAGACACACCAAAGCTTTATTTCCTCCTTGAAACTCACGTCTGGCTCGTGAGAGCGGCCGCCTTCATTCATCGCTGTGTTCCTTTTCCCAGGTGGATGGCGTGAGTTACCTACTGCAGGAGATCTATGGGATCGAGAACAAATACAACAGCCAGGAATCAAAGGTAAAAATTCGAAAACATATGAAGCATTTCAGAGCACTTTAGAAGTGACGTGAAAGTCTACCAAAACAAATCAGTGTCACTGTCTGCTTTCGCAAATCGACTTCTTCCGAGTGTTTTGATGATTTTTGTCTCCAGGTTGCTGACGACGAAATCAGCGACAACAGCGCGGAGTGCGTTGTGTGTTTGTCTGATGTACGAGACACGCTCATCCTGCCATGCAGACACCTGTGTCTCTGCAATGCCTGTGCAGACACCCTGCGCTACCAGGCCAACTGCTGCCCTATCTGCAGACTGCGTAAGTTCAGATATAGAAACACTGATCTTTTGGCAGATTTGTTTTACAGTCAAATGAAAACAGTGCAGAACGAGTTCATATTTTAGCTGAACAAGATGTATTCTGCACACTGAGGGGGATAAATATCCTATGGTCCCTCACTCAGTTAGTTTTTCATTTATTTAAAGACTACATTAATAGAGGAAAAGCAGTACAGGTAATAAAAAAGAAATAAAATCCTTGTTTGATTTCATGTAGAATTAAATATGGGAGGAAGGAAACACATTTTAAACAATAGCTGCTTCCATTCTAGAGACTATAGGAAACTGCATCAGAAATCAGAAAAGAAAAAAGTGTAAAATCTGCATCATAGATTGAACAGATCCACTGCAGGAGAGATTTGGAACCTCTCGTGCTAAAACATTTCTTTTGTAGCTAAAACCAGAATAATTAAAAATATAGTACATTTTGATACGCTTTGACAGGGTTAGTGTTTCCCAAAC